TTCCCAATGCCCAAACCCCCTAAATGTTTAGATTGACAACAGACCTTCCTTCTAACAAGGCGAGTCTCCTCTCCTCACCTACACCAGTTCATAGAAATCTTTTCATTCTACTCTCAATCCTTTTAGCTACCCTAGTAAGAATCCTAAATAGAGATAGATAGTAAAGCCGTGTATACTAGACAAATACGCGTTGATCAAGGTTACCTACCCCCAAGGGAGAACAATCCACCCTACCAGCTTTTTAGACGTCCAGTCACCTTATTCTACTCCTCCTCAAAAAATCTTATCCATCGGTTGCCTCCTAATGGAACTCCAAGATATGTAATTGGTCATGCTACCTTCTTACAACCTATTGTCTCCATAAGATGGTTAATGGATTTATCTCCCACGTTAATCCCAATAAGTAATGTTTTCCCCAAGTTGAATTTCAGTCCAAATATTTGTTCAAACACATGGAGGATGGCTGGAGCATTAGATATGGAATTATTGTCATTTTCCAAGAATATTGTCTCGTCCACAAATTGAAGGTGGGAAACCTCTAAATTCTCTATGCCCACTTTTAAACACTTTACTAAGTTTCTTTCTGTAGCTTTTGACAAAATCCTTCTTAATATATCCGCAACGAGAGTAAAGAGGAATGATGAAAGTGGGTTACCCTGTCTAAGTCCTCTTGAGACTCTAAACCAATCTTACTATTCCTGGGAATAGTTCTGGCAATTCATTATCCAAACCCACACTCTACACTGATCCAGTCTGATACAGATACAGAAGACAGAACAATATAAAAAGGAAATTAAACATTGCAATAGGCCGCTAGCTCTATCAACCTAAACTTGGAGCAACAAAAACCTTCCTTCCATTTCCCATAAAACTGAAGAAGATCAAATGACAAGAAACCAGTAGCAAATTTAAGCTAGATGAAATAACCAGGAAAAAAAAAAACAAGAAGAACATCCACAATCATATCAAATACTTGGCATTCAAACATCAGCAACTCAGTGCCATCCATCATCCAACACTCAGGTTCATTGCAGACTAAATGAAATACACACTCAGAATAAAGAGGGGAAAAGACTCAGATTTTACCATCTACAGTAAGGTGTTCTTCCACAGAAGTTTCTCCTTTTCCCCTCCGTTTACATGAATCTCCCTAATTATA